CCCCCCCCCTGCAGTGGCCCTTCGTGCCCGACCCCTTCCAGCAGCAGGCTGTGCTGTGCCTGGAGCAGGGCCACTCGCTGCTGGTGGCCGCCCACACCTCGGCCGGCAAAACTGCTGTGGCTGAGTATGCCATCGCCCTGGCCCAGCGCCACATGACCCGGTGGGTCCCTGACAGCTTTGGGGGGGACACTGGTGTCCCCCAAGGGGCCCCAACACCCCCCCCGGGGTCCTCTACTCTCTTCAGTCCCCCCTCGAGTCCCCAGTGTCAGCCCCAGGTCTGGATGATGCCCTGCCGCGTTCTGATGTCCCCCAAAACCTCTCCCCACAGCCTTCAGGGGGCCCTGAAGCGCCCTAAGACCCCGTTGGGCTTCTCCAGCCTTGGGGTCCCCCCCAAACCTCCTTGGGGGTCCCTCCAGAGTGTCCCCAAAGTCAGTCCTGGGTGTCCCCAAATCTCCCCTGGAACCCCCAAACCTTCCCAGGGGGTCCCAAAACTTCCCCAGCACTCCCCTGACCCATCTGCACCCACCCTGGGCTCATCTCATTTCTACTGACTCCTGTCTCTGGCTCCCACAAATCTGTCTGGGCCCACCCTGATCTTCTCATGGCCCCCCCACCAAAACCTCCCTGGGGGGCCTCAAACCCCCTGGGGGTCCCCAGATCCTCTCTGCCCCCCCCCAAACCTCCCCAAATCCTTTCTGAACCCCAATTCTCTCTCAGCACTCCTGTGTTCCTTTCTGGCCCCCCCCCAGTTCCCAGTGCCCCCCTCCCTCCCCATGGGACGTCCTGGGGGGGTCTGACCCTCCCCCCGGTGCCCCCCAGGACCATCTACACCTCCCCCATCAAGGCACTCTCGAACCAGAAGTTCCGGGATTTCAAGACGACGTTTGGGGATGTGGGGCTGCTGACGGGGGACGTGCAGCTGCGCCCTGAGGCCTCCTGCCTCATCATGACCACCGAGATCCTGCGGTGAGCCCGGGGGGGGGGAGCTGGAGGGAGGCTGGGGGGGCCCTGGCACCCCAAATTTCACACCCACCCCCCCCAGATCGATGCTCTACAACGGCTCCGACGTCATCCGGGAGCTGGAGTGGGTTATTTTCGATGAGGTGCATTACATCAACGATGCTGAGGTGAGGTGAGATCTGGAAAAGTTTGGGGGGGG